GAGGGCCCTGCTCCTTGGAGCTTACAATCTAGGAGGGAGGGAGCACTGGAGGAGGAAATAGCTGTGGGTGATGGAGTGGTGGGAAGAGCGGAGGAGATCGGCAAATTAGGTGAGGGCGGGGTAGGCTTCTCTGAAGAGATGGGTTTTCAGGGTGCACCTGAAGGTGAGGAGGGAAGGTGACAGTCTGATGGATTGGGGTAGTGAGTTCCAGAGGATGGGGGAAGCCCTGGAGAAGTTCTGGAGACGGGCATGGGAGGAGGAGACCAGGGAACTGGAGAGAAGGAGGTCTTGTGAGGAGCGGAGAGTGTGTTTTTTGGTGGTAGATGGATATCAGGTCGGTGATGTAGTTTGGGGCAGTGTTATGAACAGCTTTGTACGTTAATGTTAATATTTTGAATTGTATGTGTTGGGCAATCAGAAGCCAGTGGAGGGATTGGCAGAGGGGGGTGGCGGATACGGAGCGGTAGGTAAGGTGGATGAGTCCTGGCCGCAGAATTCAGGATAGACTGAAACGGGGATAGCCTGTGTTTGGGTAGGCAGGCGAGGAGGGAGTTGCAATAGTCAAGTCGGGAGATGATAAGGGAGTGAATGAGTTGCTTTGTAGTTTCTGGAGTTAGGAACGTGCGTATTTAAAAAGCCTATAGTAAAAAGATAGCCGGGCGGGACTCTCATTGATCCGGGAGGGTGTCATATGACAATTGGCCTGGATAGGAAGGGTGTAAAAGTGCCCAGTATTGAAGTGGTTAAAGGGGCAATCATTTTTTATTGCTTAAAGAAAAAAAAAAAAGAAAAATTCCTTTAAATATCATGTCTGGGGGGTCCCCTTAAACTATCTGAAAAGTTGTACATCTGTACAATGTATAGAACCTGCTGCAGCAAGACTGCCATTTTTTTAAAAAATGAAATTTTTATTAAACAAAAACAAGGTTAAGAGCGACCCCACTGTAAATGTTTTTTTTAAAAAGTGCGTGGGGTTCCCACTAAAAGCTATACCAGGCCCTATAGGTAGGACTTTAAATGGGAACCCCACCCCCCCAAAATAGGGGGGAAAAGCATGGAGTCCCCCCTAAATTCCTACCAGACCCTTGATCTAAGCACAGGCCAGAAAAGCAGGGGAATGAACTACCCCTCCTGAATGGTACCAGAACACATGCCCTCAACATGGGGGGGTGCTTTGAGCTTTAGGGTAGGGGGCTCCCATGTTTATGGGAACAAGAGCCCAGGGTTGTGAGGGTCTGCTGGGGATGACTTATTGGAATCTGGAAGACCCCTGTGAATGAGTATGGCGTGTGTAAAGAGTGAAAAGTGTAAAATGTGAATAAAAACACAACAACAGTCCTTTATTTAACCACCTTCCGCCTGCCATATAGTACAATGACGGGCACAAAGTGGTTCTCTCGTTCTGATAGGACGTCATATGATGTCCTTCCATGCTCACCACGCATGCGCGGCTCAGGGAGCGTGCAGCGCGGCGATCGCTGGCGCGCTGTGTCCCTCAGACACAGCGGATCACAGAAAGAGCCAAAGATGTTGCCTCGGTCATGTGATCAGCTGTGTCCAATCATCCCTGATGATCCCTGATGATCAGTGTGGCCCCAGACGTGCCACCTGTCAGTGTCCATCAGTGCCAGCATTCAGTGCTCATCAGTGCCACGTTCCAGTGCCCATCAGTGCCACATCAATGCCACATATCAGTGCCTATCAGTGCACATCAATGCCACATATCAGTGCCCATCTGAGCTGCCTTTCAATATCACCCATCAGTGCCAGTCAGTCAGGCCACCTATCAATACCAATCAGTGCCACCTATCAGTGCTGCCAATCAGTGCAACCTATCAGTGCCAGTCAGTGTTACCTATCAGTGCGCATCAGTGCCACCTATCAGTGCCAGCCAGTGCCGCCTATCAGTGCCAGCCAGTGCTGCCTAACAGTGCCAGTCAGTGCTGCCTATCAGTGCCAGTCAGTGCCGCCTATCAGTTCCATATATCAGTGTCATGTATCAGTGCTGCCTTTCAGTGCCCATCAGTGATGCCTGTCAATGCCCATCAGTGCAACCTACCAGTGCCTCCTCATCAGTGCCCATCAGTGCCACCTATCAGTGTCCATCAGTGCAGTCTATCAGTGCCCATCACTGCAGCCTCATTAGCGCACATCAGTGAAGGAGAAAAATCACTTATTTACAAAATTGTATAACAAAAACTAAGAAAAAACATATTTTTTTTTCAAAATTTTCAATGGTTTTTGGTTTGCTTAAGAAAAAATAAAAATCCCAGAGGTGATTAAATACCACCAAAATAAAGCTCTATCTGTCTCAAAAAAATGATAAAAATTTCATATGGGTACAGTTTTGCATTACCGCGCAATTGTCATTCAAAATGTGACAGCGCTGAAAGCTGGAAATTGGCCTGGGCAGAAAGGGGGTATAAGTGCCCTGTAGGCTAGTGGTTAAACAAAAAGCCAAAAAAATGGTTCCATTATTGTTATCCATTGTTAATCCTGCCGACCATAGCTAGCTACGGGGGCACCCGCTGCTCCATGTGTTTATTCACTCACGGAGCCATTGCTTGGCCCAGCCTCTCTTCTCTTTGGCTCCCTGGCTGTGATTGACAGCAGTGGGAGCCAATGGCTCTCGCTGCTGTCTGAGCCAATGAGGATAGGGAGTCCTGGGATTGCCGAGAGTCCAGTGCACATCGCTGGATCGAGAGCGGGCTTAGGTGAGTATTAGGGGGTGCAGGGGGAGGTGCTGCATGGTTTTTTACCTTCACGCATAAAATACATGAATACATGGTCATGACCCCATGAAGGGGATATTGTATTGATATCAGATTGATACTGAGATGTTCTTCTGTTTTATAGTCCCATAAAAAGCTGGTCTTGGACCGCTGAAATGCATTGGATAATTTTTGGATTGTCCTGATTTTTATCAGAATAAGTTGTGTCTGGACCATTTAGCAATGATGTAGCACTTCAATTTCAACTTTTGGGAACTTCTAAGTCGCTCAACATAGTTCCCATTAGACAGGCCAGTTAGGTGTAGACATAGTTGTCTGCATTTAGGAAAGAAACTGACTTTAGTAGGCCTAAGCTTAGCAAACTGTTGTACTACACATTTAGCGAGTACAATTTATTATACCTCCTAAGTGTTTTGTTGGATGTTTATAACTGTTTATCTTTACCTCAGTATTGTTAAAATATTGTATGCATTGCTTAATATTTTGTGTAACCTGTTAAATCTTTATGAAGACCCTCAAGGTGTGTCAAAGACTGGTGACAGCCAAAAGAATGACCTTCTGGAGGACAGGAGACCCAGATCTAACCAGCGGCTCCTAAGAAAGTAGAAACATTTTAGGTAAAATGTGGTATTTTCTTCTATCGGGAAATATTCTTCCTCTTGCATAGTGGAGGTTAATTCCTGGGACCCAAGGGAGTGACACAACCCTGTGAAGTTTTAGTAGGTGATACAGAGAGGAGGGTGGTATAAAGGAAGGTTTTTCAGAACAATAGGACACATTCTAACATGCCCCACTAAGTTATTTCCTTTCTATAATGTCTACCCAACCCAACATGTCTCAGATTGTTAGCCAACCAGTGAATGACATTTCATAGTAAATATCCTCCAAAGATTGATACCTTCTGCTTTTGAATAAGAATTTTTTTCATAGCAGAGATCACAAGCATCAGTGGTAAAATGCAGAACACGCCTGGAAAATCCAGTACTGCTGCGGTCAAAGCTGTCAATACGCTTTTGTAAATTACAGTCATCTACTGGTGTTCAACAATTCCAGCTGAATATATAACACTTCCTACATGTATTTTGTAGAAAAAAAATTAGATCATTAGATTAATAAGATAAAATAACTCAGTACTTAGAGGTTTATTTATAAAAATTTTGCTGAATATAAAATATCCAAGGAGCTAATGATCGTTGGCTCCATCTAGTGGCTGGAATGTTGTATTTTCCTGAACTACCTCAATCAGGACATACCTCATCTTTGGCCAGTAGATGGCGTATTATAGAAAATTAACATACTAGGCACAATGGGGTTTATTCGTGATGGCTGTGCGAATGCTGAGCATTCTTTTTTATAAACAGACCCCTAAGAGCAGCTACATTAAAATGTATCTCCCCCCTCTGATTTTTTTGGTGACCATTGCGAGGGAGAATCCCAAATTTTACAGGTGTTCCCAGAAAATGAGGTAAGGGGAAATCTTCTAATGGGGACACTTGCTCCAGGGCAGTTAATCAAAAGAGAAAATCCCCTCACTTTCCTCTAACTTCCTGTTGTGTATCTGTGGCAGCAAGTGAAGGAAAATTTCCCTAAGTGGATACATAAAGCAAACATAATAAATTGGCAAGGTTTCTAACTCTTCCCTACTTACTTCCAAACTAAAAAAAAAAAGTTTTGGTTACACATGCCCTTTAATTCTTTTTGTTGCCACTGATGTATGATGCTAGCTTCAATGGAGGCCAGTTGACACCTGATGTCTCAATAAAGAGAACCTGTAACCTCTAAGAGAAGAAACACATTATGTTGTGGTATTCAAGTGTGTAAAAACCTTTTGCAAATGCAATAAAAATGTAATTATAAAAAAAAGAACCTGTCACAACAAAACCATATCACATAAAGGAATAGAGGAAGTTTGATGCAAATAAAAGTGTAAAAAAAAATTAGTTACACATAAGCAGGTAAAGCCCATCTAACAAAATTCAAAGAAAAGGGGCATCACCTTTTTTAAAGCTATACAGCCAGGAATCAAAGCAAGGGTGCCGTATGTGCATTTCTTTGTAAATCTTCAGACAGATGAAGCAGTTTTCACATACATGTGTATTTTGGTTGTGTGTGTGTATACAGTGAAGTGTATATATATATATAATATATATATATATATATTTATTTATACTATATTGCCAAAAGTATTGGGACACCCCTCCAAATCACTGGATTCAGGTGTTCCAATCACCTCCATGGCCACAGGTGTATACAATCAAGTATCTAGGCATGCAGACTGCTTCTACAAACATTTGTGAAAGAATGGGTCGCTCTCAGGAGCTCAGTGAATTCAAGCATGGTACCGTGATAGGTTGCCACCTGTGCAATAAGTCCATCTGTGACATTTCCTGGCTACTAAATATTCCACGGTCAACTGTTAGTGGTTCTATAACAAAGTGGAAGCAACTGGGAACAACAGCAACTCAGCCACAAAGTGGTAGGCCACGTAAAATGACAGAGCGGGGTCAGCGCATGCTGAAGCACACAGTGCACAGAAGAATCCAATTGTCTGCAGAGTCAATAGCTAAAGACCTCAACAACAGTGTGTAGAGAGCTTCATGGAATGGCCGAGCAGCTGCACCCAAGCCTTCCATCCCCAAGTGCAATGCAAAGTGTCGGATGCAGAGGTGTAAAGCATGCCACCACTGGACTACAATTAGAGAAGTGATGTGGAGACGTGTTCTCTAGAGTGACCAATCACTCTTCTCTGTCTGGAAATCAGATGGGTTTGGTGGTTGCCAGGAGAATGGTACTTTCTGGAGTGCATTGTGCCAAGTGTAAACTTTGGTGGAGTGGGGATTATGGTGTGGGGTTGTTTTTCAGGGGTTGGGCTTGGCCCCTAGTTCCAGTGAAGGGAACTCTTAAGGCATCAGCATACCAAGACATTTCGGACAATTTCATGCTCTCAACTTTGTGGGAAGAGTTTGGGGATGGCCCCCTCCTGTTCCAACATGACTGCACACCAGTGCACAAAGCAAGGTCCATAAAGACATGGATGAGTAAGTTTGGGGTGGAGGAACTTGACTGGCCTGCACAGAGTCCTGACCTCAACCCCATAGAACTTCTTTGGGATGAATTAGAGTGGAGACTGCGAGCCAGGCCTTCTCGTCTGACATCAGTGCCTGACCTCACAAATGCGTTTCTGGAAGAATGGTCAAACCTTCCCATAGACACCCTCCTAAACCTTGTGGACAGCCTTCCCAGAAGAGTTGAAGCTGTTATAGCTGCAAAAGGGTGGGTCAACTCAATATTGAACCGTACAGACTAAGACTGGGATGCTGCAAGAAAGCATACAGGTGGCGCAAACACCTAGTGCATTAGGTGTTTGCTCCACTTGTATGCTTTCTTCCAGTTTGTTGATCTCCCCATCTGAGGAGGGCTGCATCTCCGGAACGTTATCCATAGGCTATTTATGCTTCTGATCCCCTGGCCATCCCCTGGCATTGGTTCCCTTGAGGTGCTGGAGAGTTTACACATCTGTAAGACTGGCATGCCATTACAGTTCATGTGTGTGTAAAGGCAGGCATCTCCATATATATTTGCACATATATATTTGCATATTTAGATTTTCAGGTATTTACCAAAACATATTCAGGCTATAGTTATATATAGTGGCTATGGGCTGAAAGTGCACACTCTCAGGTTTAATTTGAGGGTATGTACATCCAAATTGGAGGAAGGGTTTAGGTATTACAGCTCTTAAGAGTAGCCACCCCCCCTTTGTCAAGGGACCAAAAGTAATTGAACAAATGAATATAATCATAAATAAAATGTTCATTTTTAATATTTTGTTGATAATCCTTTACTGGCAATGACTGCCTGAAGTCTGGAACCCATGGACATTAACAAAAACTGGGTTTCCTCCTTTCTGATGCTTTTTCAGGCTCTAACTGCAGCTGCCTTCAGTTGTTCTTTGTTTGTGGGTCCTTCTGCCTTTAGTTTTGCCTTCAGCAAGTGAAATGCATGCTCAATTGGATTGAGATCAGGTGATTGACTCGGCCATTGCAGAATACTCCACTTCTTTTCCTTCAAAAGCTCCTGGGTTGCTTTTGCTGTGTGTTTTGGATCATTGTCCATCTCTTGTTAAGCGCCGTCCAATCAACTCTGTTGCCTTTGGCTGAATCTGGGCTCACAGTATATCTCGAAACATTGCAGAATTAATCTGGCTGCTTCTGTCTTCTGTCACATCATCAATAAACACCAATGACCCAGTGCCACTGGAAGCCATGCATGCCCATGCCATCACACTGCCTCCACCATGTTTTACAGATGATGTTGTCTGCTATGGATCATGAGCTGTTCCAAGCCTTCTACACACTTTTTTCCACGTCATTCTGGTACAGAGTAATCTAGGTTTAATTTGTCCAAAGAATGCTTTTCCAGAACTGGTCTGGCTTTTTTAGATGTTTTTTGGCAAAGTCTAATCTGGCTTTTCTATTCTTCAGGCTTATGAATGGTTTGCACCTTGTGGTGAACCCTCTGTATTTGCTCTCGGGAAGTCTTCTCTTGATTGTAGACTTTGGCAATGATACGCCCACCTCCTGGAGAGTGTCCTTCACTTGTCTGGATGTTGTGAATGGGTTTTTCTTTACCATGGAGAGGATCCTGTGATCATCCACCACTGTTGTCTTCCGTGGACCGCCATGCCTTTTTATGTTGCTGAGCTCACCAGTGCGTTCTTCTTTCCTCATAATGCACCAACTGATGATTTGTCCACTCCTAATGTTGCTGCTATCTCTCTGATGGATTTGTTCGTTTTTGAAGCCTTACAATGGCCTGTTTCACTTGCATGGACAGCTCCTTCGAACGCATAATGTAGGTTCACAGTAATAGATTCCAAATACAAATACCACAGTTAGAATCAACTCCAGATCTTTTTACTTGCTTAATTGATGAAGAAATAATGAAGGAGAAGCCCACACCTGGCCATGAAACAGCTTTTGATTCAATTGTCCAATTACTTTTGGTCCCTTGAAAAAGGGGGATAGCTGTTCTTAAGAGCTGTAATTTCTAAACCCTTCCTCCCATTTGGATGTACACACCCTCAAAATAAACCTGAAAGTGTTCACTTTCAGCCTATATCTATTATATAACTATAGCTTGAATATGTTTTGGTAAATACCTGAAAATATCTAAAATTGTGCTTGTGTCCAAACATATATGGACCTAACTGAAGTGACAATTTAATACCTGGAAAGGACAGTAAAAAAAAATGTTTGGTTGCCTATACACTAGTGACTGTGGTTGCCTTCAAAGTAGCCCCCTTGTGAAGTGTCATACTTTTCTATATGACTTTGCCACTGTGGAAACATTCCTGAAATTAATTCTCCAGAATGCTGCACAGTATCTTTGTCATGACAGTCCAGATGTCCAGAATGTCATCAAATCTGTGCCCTTTTAAAGCATTTTTTAATTTTGGAGACAGTCAAAAGTCACAGGGTGCTAAGTCAGAGAAATCACATGGTTGATCAATTTTCTGAATGGATTTCTAGGCCAGGAACTTGTGAACACTGAACGCATCCTGTGCAGGAGCATTGTCGTGGTGGAGAATCCACTTGTCAGGACAGTTCTGGTCTTTTCTAACAAACAGATTCCAGTAACCTTTTCATTTTCCACATTTGCATCTTTTGTGTTTTTGGCTGCTCACTTCTTGCATCATCATGGACATCTCCCAGTCCTCCTTATACCGCCTATGCCATTCAAAAACACTTGATTTCTTCATGGATTGTTCACCATATGCCTCCTGTTAGAGAGCTAAAGTTTTACTCGCACTTTTGCAAATTTTCAAGCAAAATTGGATGCTAATCAGCTACTCCAGATTCCTGTCACTCATTTTCCCCCAACTGTGCAACACACACATGTTATTTCTTCTACTACTCTGTAAAGACTGAGTCAACAGGTCTGCGACCCAGGCGAGTGCAAGTTAGAACATGTCAGAACACGTTTGAGCGCAAATGACTGACTCACGAATATATTGTTAGGCCACGGGTATTCTGAGAATTAAACTGTCACACCTCATATATTACATTTTTGGTTTTGGGTTTAATAATCCTTTAATTTCCTACTAGTGAGGTTTCAGCACCACCCTGGGTGGACAGCTCCATCATGCCAACCTACATCTGGAATTCAGCTGGTCAAGACATAGCAAAGGAGGAAGAAGACCATAGCTGGTATTTTTGCTTCCGGGATTACAGGTCAGGAAGTCACCTATGACTAAACTGTCTTACATTTAACCCTAAACTCTAGTCAGATATGAAGACACACATTAATGCAGTTCTGTATTTATTACATCATCAAATGTATTTTAAAATCAAGAAGAAAGCATAGAAAGTACCTGAATTGGTCTAAGCAACAGTTTCCTGCAGTCCGTGTACAGCAGAGTAGGAAAAAAGCAGCACAAGGAGCGAATCAAATCATGTGCTGGCAAGAAGCATGCTAATAGGGGAAGAAAATGAAATTATTCCATCACTGTGCTGCTTTTAATTTCACTGTCCAGTCAATGGCTGGATAACCTGGGCTCAGAAGAAGTGGGTCAATAATGCTAGCCATCAGACTGAGGGCATCTAGAGGACATAAAAAGTACAGCCGGATTTAAGCTAAATGTTGAGGCAAAATCATTTTTTTAAATTTTTTCTTGGGTTATTAAAGGGAATAATTAATAGGCGGTGTGAGCACACTGATCTAGAGATGAGCTCATCACTGTGCTGCTTCTCCTTTCACTGTCCAGTCACAGGGGTCAATGACAAAGGAAGCTGGTTGAATGATGCTGGCTGTCATCCAACATAGTACAAGACTAGTACTTGTTCTGGTTCAGTGGGAGAAATGAAGGCTTTGGATGAACATTAGACCCAGAGAACTAATACTTTCAGAAGGGCATGTGAGATTTGGTTTTGGCTGCAGGTTTTTTAGCATACAAAGATGTAAACATCAACTGCTTTCATCAAATGTACACTTATTGAAAGCTGTATTTCATAAAACGAACCATACAGTAGTTCCCTAGCGTGCCTGATGTGTGGTGAGCTGCAATGCATGTGTGTCGAAGGTGCACTGGGTTAATGTATCTTAATGTATGTTTCAGTAATGCGCAAGTTCCCATGACACACTAAGCTGTAGAGGTCTGATTGGGCCCACAAGGTGTCCTGAGAGGTACACAAGGCATGCTAAGATGACAATAAATAGTGATCAAGAGGCACTTAGGGTTCGGGTACATGGACATATTTGCAAGCATATGGGCATGCAACATAAAATACGCCCCTAGTTTCTGTGCCTGGGAGACCCAGTCCAAAAGGGACACAGACAGCAAGTAAAAAATGAACAGAGGTTCTAATCCTTACCACACAGTCCATAAAATGGCTAGAGTTACACCTTAAAGTGGTTGTAAACCCTTATGTATACCCAGTGAAGTGACTGGCTTCAGGTGATACACAGAGATGAAACAAATCTTCCTACATAGGTAGGCAGGTGCAGTCTGCTTTCTCCACTGCAGGTGGCGCTCAACTGCAGGGCATGGCAGAGGGAGAGGAAGTCAAGAGGAACAATGTTCCTCTATGGTTTCCTGGGTCACTGGGGAAGTTATATGGTTGAATGCTGC